TGCAAACCTGTCTCAGTGTTCCCTTATCTATTTTGTTCTTCTGCCTTCTCCCCCTTCTTATATTGCTCTCCCCAACATCCAAACTAAACCCACCACCCCACCCTCACTGTTGTGGTTACCTCATATTCCTTTAATTCTTCTCTCCATTTAAGACAGTCTATTTTATCCTGTAATCTACCTGACATTCCCACCACCTGAATCTCTGTTCCTCTCTGTTTACCTTCTTTCACACTGTAATTATTTTGATCATAGACTGACCTCCCAGGTCTTCTGTTCTTATACTTTTATTCTGTTCATGACTCTTCCACTTGTTGATTGAGTTCAGGGTGATGCTGCCACATATGTCATTCTCTGGTTGTTGTCTGTTCTTGCTGGTTCTCAGTCTACAGAACTTCCTTTAGGATGTATTTCATAGCAGGGTTGGCTTTGGCAAATCCCTTACCTTCTGTTTATCCTGGAATGTTTTGATTTGATTGACAGCTTTGCTGGGTAGAGGATTCTTGGTTGGCAGTTTATTTTTCTTTCAGGGTTTTATATATATCTTCCCATTGCCTTCTTGCCTTCATGGTTTCTGTTGAGAAATCCAAGCTTAATCTTATTTGCTTCCCTTTGTATGTTACTCTTCTCTTTTCCCTAGCTGCCTTCAGGATTCTGTCTTTATCTTTGATTTTGGAGAGCTTGATTATTATATGTCTTGGTGATTTTCTTTTAGGGTCTATCCTTTCTGGGGTTCGTTGAGCTTCTTGAATGCTTATCTTTGCGCTTTGTAGGATGTTAGGGAAATTTTCTTCCAGAAGCTCTTCAACTATCTCCTCTGTGGACTTGTGTGATTCTTCCTGTTCCAGAACGCCAATAATTCTTACGTTACTCCTCTTCATTTTGTCCAACATAAATCTCAGGCTTTCTTCTGATTGTTTTTTAATCGTTTTTTTTTTGTGTTTGTTCTTCTATCTTAGTAGTGTTGAGAGATTTATCTTCTAATTCACTAATTTTGGCGTCTATCTCTTCAGTTCTGTTCCTTTGTCCTTTCAGTGTATTGTCCATTTCTGATATTCTATTATTAATCCATTGGACCCCTTTTTGTAGGTTTTGAATCGTTTCCAACGCTGTATCTATCTTATTTTATTGTTCCTGTAACACTTTCCTTACTTCTACCTTATTTTTCTCAACTTCATTGTATAGTGTTTTGATACATTTTATAATCATTTTTCTGAATTCCTTCTCAGGCATTTCCAAAGCCTGTTCATCTTCCAGTATGGAGTGTAGGTGTACTTCCAGCTCATTTGCCTCAGTTACTTTATCTTGTTTCTGGACATGTGCTGATATGGTCATCTACTTCTGTTTTGGGGGCATATTCAGGAGCTATCTGTGATCTTAATACTTAGATGGGTGTATGTTTTATTATTTTTTTATGCTTTGTGATTGCCTCCAGGTAGATGTGATCAGGAGATGGGCTCCCCTTTTCACTCTTCTTCCTGAGAAATTTCAAGATGCCACTGTTGGTCATTGTGATATAACTCAGGACTTAATTTTTGTTCTATTTACTTTATGTCTGCCTGTTCTGCTGCACAATCCCCATTCAGGCCTTTTTTCCTAATGATAAACAGTTCAGGGCTGGCTGTGACTGTGTGATGCCATTTGGTTTTAAGTGGAAACTGTCACTTTAAATTTCAAGGAAATCTGTGCGCATGTGTAGTAGAACCCTAGGGGGTGGGGGTGGGAGGAGTGGCGGCGAGATGTCCATTCTCTCAGGCACTCCCTCTAGTCACCAGAATGGAGGTGTGCAAACAGTGAGAGACCAATGAATAGATACCAAAA